AGTTTGAAACTAAATATATTTTCTATTTCAAAAATATATTTTATTGAGCTTCACAGTTTACAACATATTTAGTATAAAATTAAAATATATTTTGGCAACAAAATATATGTATTTTTTTCAGTATGGGATTCTCTCATTTGGTAACTTATTGAAACATTTTTAACAGATGGTGTTAGTAGTCAATATTCAAACAATTCTCACATTAAATCTCAAACTAAGTTGCAGTTCATCTCACATGGGCACATGAGTACAAGCGAGCAAACCTCTTGCTACATGACTTGCTACAATATATGTAGTCTCGAGACGATATTCACAGAAAGCTAATTACAACACTAGAATTATATAAATAACTAAACAGTATTTCATATATTTGACACATCATGCTATAATTCAGTGTGGCATTTCAAAATAATGAGCATAATTTACTAGATTGTTGGTATGTTACAGTGCATCCGGAAAGTATTCACAGCGCTTCACTTTTTCCACATTTTGTTATGTTACAGGCTTATTCCAAAATTGATTAAATTCATTATTTTCCTCAAAATTCTACAAACAATACCCCATAATGACAGACACAGTTTGTTTGAAATCTTTGCAAATTTATTAAAAATAAAAAACAAAAAAAATCACATGTACATAAGTATTCACAGCCTTTTCCATGACACTCAAAATTGAGCTCAGGTGCATCCTGTTTCCACTGATCATCCTTGAGATGTTTCTACAACTTGACTGCAGTCCACCTGTGGTAAATTCAGTTGATTAGATGTTTCTACAACTTGATTGGAGTCCACCTGTGGTAAATTCAGTTGATTGGACATGGTTTGGAAAGGCACACACCTGTCTATACAAGGTCCCACAGTTAACAGTGCATGTCAGAGCACAAACCAAGCCATGAAGTTCAAGGAATTGTCTGTAGACCTCCGAGACAGGATTGTATCGAGGCACAGATTGGGGGAAGGGTACAGAACAATTTATACAGCATTGAAGGTCCAAGTGAGCACAGTGGCCTCCATCATCCGTAAATGGTTCCGTGGCATCTAAGAGATTGAAAACCCCTGTTCCAAATCACCCAAATAACATGAAGGTGCTCAAGTGAGTTTGATTGTGAGCTCTCAAGATCAGTCTGCACACAACAATCCAGATATCAGTCGATTAATCAATCTGTCTATCAGTGGCGGAGCCAGGATGTTTTCATAGGGGTGGCCAGGGAGGGGCCAGCAACCAGTCTGGGGTGGCACAGAAATCTTCATTATTTCAATATAAAAATGTGATTGACTATAAAGTATTGGAATGTTTTAGTGCCTAAAACACAACTGAATACAATTAATGTCTACTAAATTGTAATTGAGATATGTGTGAATTAGATCAAGTAATGCTGAGTGAATATAACAATGTGTGTATTACTCCCCACCTCCAGGTATTTTAATAAAGGGGCTCACTATAGCTTTATTGCTCAGTCAGCTTGGTTCTGGTTCTCAAAACCCCCAAAAGCTTGTTCTCCATCATTGTATACTCATTGATGAGACATGCAGATAGTGATAAGAATTGGTTAATAAAAAATAACAAAATAAATGCCAGAATGTAAAATGAGTTATTTTATGCATTTAAATTGTTTCATTTTCGTTTGTAAAAAAATAAAAATAGCCATGTTTTCTAGTATAAGTGCAGTGTTCATATTTACTTGTACATTAAATTACAAAAATCTCGAATTGCACAATATTTTAGTGCATTTGAGAGACGTTCTTTAATGTGATGCTATACATACATGAATGCACTAACAGCCACAGAACCGGAAGTGAGGGGCGGAGCTTACGTTCTTAACAGAGTAGCGCCACCTCACGGTTTTTAAGAGGTCATTTGCTTTTATTACACACGATACGTCATACTTTATGTATATATGCATTTTATAATGATATATTAAGCATTTTATAAACATTGATCTTGTGTAATTTAGTTGTAGGCCTATACAGTTATTCGTTTCATTGTATTATGCGAGTTATTTCCTCTTTGTGATATTAAAAATATTGTTTGAAACTTCTTAGCATTTTATATGAAATATACTTTAATCACAAAATTCAAAATAAATAAATATACTTTAATCACAAGATTCAAAATAAATGTTTACTCCAAAGTCAAGAACACGTGCATCATACATTTTTCTATATGAAAACTAAAACATTTCAATAAAACACACACACACACACACACACACACACACACAAACAGCAGCATCATTTTAAAAGTAACAATCAAAATGTACACAATAATTAAATTGAAGTTTATAACATGAACAATTCACTATTATGCCCATTTTGTCATGACAATCCTGCATGAAAATTTACTAAATGAACAATTCACTCTTGGGCACATTTTGTCATGACAATCCTACAAAAATAACTCCCCTGAACACAAGATGAAATATGAAGGGCACTCTGGAAACTTCTGTTCCAGGAGATTGTTGAGGGTCTTTTCCTTGTCCTCTTCCTCCATTATAAGGAAAAGAGTCTCTTCCCCTGGCCCCCTGAGCAGATGTCTGTTTAATGGAGCCATTTCACAACTTCTGTGAGATTACTGGAGATTTCTTATTAATGTGCATATATATACACAGTATATAGATAGATAGATAGATAGATAGATAGATAGATAGATTTGAGACATACCTCACAAGCGTAGCCTGTTATCCACTTGCAATTGCATTTGGATTGTCACAATTTATGCGCCCACATGTGGAAAACGCAATTGAAAATACAATTTGCAATTCCTTTTGAAAAAAGTCCTGAATATTCTTCCATAGGGTAATAATAAAAACTCTTTAAAAAAAATCTTAAAATGAATAATAAAAATTATCAATAAAATGTGTAAATATAGTTTGGTTCCAAATAAACATATTTTCAGTTTGGTGTTTTCCACTTAAAACAATTAACACTGTGCTAAACAAATAGTTGTATAAAAAATTCAGGAAATATTTTCTGGCAATGAATCTGTCTTCTTTTTTTCTTTTTTTTCTAAACCCAACTTAAGCTTTCATTTAATGATATTCAACAAATAATAAAAACCAGATATTGCTTTATTCAAAGAAGGTTTTCAATGAAGGTGTTTTTAATTGTATCTCTTGTATTTTATATTATAGGCATTTAATTTTGTATTAAATATATGTTCTTTACATTTGTGGTGTGTCTGTCTTCTAAACATCTTGTCATGTATGTTATATCTCATAATCAGGCAAAAAAAAACTTCTCAAGGTGACTAAAAGCAGATGATTACATTGGACAGATTTTTGAGAGCATAAGAATGGTCAAACACTGCCATCTTGTGGTGATTCACTGAATATCTTGCAAAAATGTTAGCAATAAAAACAAAATTAACAATGGGGCTGATTAGCCTGACACACTGCAACATATATTTAATTAGAAGAGGGTCATATTTACATTTATATTTACATTTGTGTACATTGTTTCACTCACCTACACTTTCATGCTAGTGCTGCAATGTTACAGACTGCTCTAGATAATTAGATATTCCACTTAAAAAATATGAATCAAACAATTTCATGCATGAAAAATCAAATTTAACTTAAGTTTTCATTTAGAAAGTAGACATACAAGAATGGTTCATTGTTTTTTTTGCATGGCACTTAAAGGGATAGTTCACCCAAAAAGTACAATTCTGTCATTATTTACTCATCCTCAAGTTGTTTCAAAAGGTATGAAATTCTTTCTTCAGCTAAACACAATGTTTTGAAGAATATGGACAGACTGGCTTACTTCTGCCTTATGTTCCTGCCCGCTCATTACGATCTTCTAGTGAGGGATTGTTAGTCACCCCTAAGTTTCGTCTGGTGACTATGGGATCTAGAGCTTTCAGTGTTGTGGCTCCCAGATTGTGGAATGCTCTTCCCCAAAACATCCGTCCAGCATCATCCCTTCTCTCCTTTAAAAACCTCTTAAAAACACATTTTTTCTCTGATTATTACTCTTCAGTTCTCAGTCTGTAATTTGTACCGTTATGGATGTTTATCTACATTCTCATGTATCTCTAATCTAACTTTGTAAGTGGTCTCTATATATTACTCTCAGCTCTTGGTATGTGTTCTGTCTTCTGGTATTGATGTTTGTCTGTTTCTGTTCCTTAAACCTGACTTGTAAAGGGACCTTGGGTTTTGGAAAGGCACTATATAAATAAAAAATATTATTATTATTATTATTATGGATAATCAACAGTTTCTGGTCCCCACTGACTTCCACATTATATTTTTTTCATACTATGGAAGTAAACGGGGACCAGCAACTGTTTGGTTACCAACATTCTTCAAAATACATGCTTTTACATTCAACAGGAGAAATAACTCATATAGGTTTGGAATAACTTGAGGATGAGTAAATAACATCATTTTCTTTTTTTTTTCTCAAGCTTCTTTAATAACAATTAATGCATGCTAGAAAAACTCATCACTTGATTCAGCTTTATTATATATTTTATTAAAGCATGCAATATCTTTTCAGTGGACAGATGTACATTTTTATAGCTGTTTATTGTGGATGCAGATTAGGCTATATTTCATATTTAATGGTTACAATGATAAACACTTACTGTAAAATGAAAAAAATACTACACAACATCAGCTAAACAAAAAGCTAAATCACCTAAACCAGCAGCAGTATTGGAGATTCTGTCAAATTTGCACTATTTTTAACTAATTTGTTTTATATTGTGCATCATAATAACTTTTACCCATTTGTTTATATTCTACATAAAATAAGTCTTGCATTCACCTTCCAAATCAAGCAAACAGCATTTAAACATTTCTTTATATAACATATTATGTCAAACATAGAGCATTATTTTGATCTGGTTAAATATAATCAAGTAGCATTTCTTAGTTTAACCAGGCAAATGTCATTTCTTACAACAGGTGCTTTCACACTAGAGTTTTTGGTGCAGATATAAGTATGTTTCTTGTCAGAGTTCCTTTTAATTGGTTTGAATATATTCCTCCAGGCTCACCTCACCTTTTGTGCTTGAAAAGGTGGGCTTGGGTTTGTCTTTGTATCAGAGTCTTTGATAATTGTTTTATCCAGACTCTCAATAGCTTCCTCTTGTGAGTATTTTCTCCATTCATCTGGAATCTTGCCGCTCCCCTCAAAGGTTTTTTCATAGTGATTTTCCAGATCTGTTTGGACATGTTTGCTGGATTCATGTGCTGCTTCTGTGATCTGTTGCTCCAGCAGTTTAATGCTGTTTTCCATCTTGGGTTGAACACTATCTTCAAATCTTTCAGTGATGTACTGACTGACTTCACCTCTGATAAAATTCTTGAAGTGTTCTTTAGGATTTTTAATGTAGGTCATGTATGCGTTGAAGTCCTGTTTTTCTGCCAGTGTCCTCAGAATGTGTTTCTCCAGATTTGATCGGTTCCCATTTAGTGATTCACAGTTTGTCCTCATTTCATCTGCTAAATCTCTAGCAGTTTTTTTGTAGACATTCTGCTGAATGGACTCTTTGAGTTTATTACAAACAAATTCACTAAAAATAGCTGTTGATGTTGCTCCTTCACAGTATTTCTGGAAAATTCTGTAGTACTCTTCACTTTTCCTCTCAAAATAGAGAACAGGATCATTGGCATCCCTGAACATTTTGTATTGATCTGTGAATGTATTTTTTGCTTTATGGCATATGCAAAGTACCAGATCCACAAAGAATTTTCTCTTGAACATGCATTTTACTTTTGGCCCATCTTCATGCTGTGTTAACCTTGTCTTTATGTAATCCAGGAGTTGTTGAATGCAGCTGATGTTGTAGCCCAACTTTGCGATGTTATATGACTGAATCATTTTATCTGTTTGGTCTGCGATGTCTATGATTAAGGCTCTTATCTGAACTTCATCCTTTTCAGATAAAGCAAAACCAACCTTCTCTTGAAATACTTTGCACATATTTGTGAGAGGTCCGGTAATTCCTCTGGATTTCTTCAAATGTACATATTCTGAATAACTTGTCAAACAGAACATATCTTTGAACTGACTGCTCTCTTTCATACGGTCTAAAGGGAGACTTTTATAAGTCTCACTGAGGAGATTCTTCACATCTCTTAATATGTCAATATCTTGGATCTTAGGAGTGTTGCTGATGATTGCAGCTGTCTGTTGTTCCCAAAAGGAATCAAACTTTACTTTCATGTGATTTTCATCAGTTGCTTGGTCTTTAAATTCTAAGGCAAGGTATTTGCTCTTTTCAAAGAGAGTGTTTTCGTGTTGTCTTCTCTGAGCATCAATCTTTTTCTTAAGTTCACGCTGCTGAAGAACCTCATTTAATTTTCTCTTAGTTTCCCTTACAATGTTTTCTTGAAGATGTTTGATTTTTATCTCAAATGAAGCTTTCCACTGATTCAGTATACCTGCATCTCTGTCTTTCTCAAAGAAATCAGACATCGTCTTTTTCACTTCTTCACTTTTTGCATTTAGTTCTTTTTGAAGATCAGTTTCCTCAACAGAATTAATTACTTTATTTTCTATTCTGTTGTGAAGCTTGTTTTCAATTTCCAGCATGGCACTCCGAAGGCTCCAGGTCCACTTGCTGTATTCAGTCTCTAGTTTCTTGTATGTTGTGATTTCCAGGGAATTTTTGAAGCTGAACACAAACTGTTCATTAAGCAAAGCCTCCCAGAGATCTTTAATACGGTCTCTTAGGTGTGTCAGCATAATGCCGTCTGATTTTGAAGCATGTCTTAGAATAGTTTGTTTCAGTTCTAGAATGTTCTCGCAGTAGTTTGGGTTTGGTGGAGCCATGGGTGGGCTGCCCTCCCAGAGCTGAGCAAAATACTTCACATCATTCTGGATATCAAACGCAATCACATCACTGAATCCCTCAGCATCACAGACTTCTTCTCTAGCAGCAAGTTTTGTCATATCATCCAGTTTCTCCTGTAGTCGTCTCCTTCCCTCCGTGTTTTTCTCTCCAGCAGTAATATCTGAGACATTCTGATGCACAAACATGCAGCTTGGATTCAGTCTGACTTTATTCATCCTCAGGAAAGCCTGGACAACAATCTGAAGAATGTCCTGCATCTCAGATGGGTTTTCTCCAAATATATTGATCAGGGTAATGTTTCCAAGACCAACAACAAATGTAGCCATTTCATTGTCACGATGTGTTGTTGACCTTCCAGCCAGTTCTGGTGCACGAAGTCCTTCAGTATCAACAACTAAAATATAGTCAAACTTTAGCTCTGTTTTCATCTCCTCTGACACTTTGAGCTGACCAGAATGTAGTCAAAATTTAGCAGTGCGTTCATCTCCTCCGACACTTTGAGCAGCTGCATGAAAGCTCCTCTGGTGCACCTGCCAGCACTGACGGCAAACTGGAGTCCAAACATGGCATTCAGCATGGTGGATTTGCCAGAACTCTGAATCCCTAAAATTGACAGCACAAAGATTCTGGTCTGTTCTCCCAGTTTTTTAACAAGTTCATCTAGAACAGCAGAGATCCAGCTGAGGGGAATATGAGCAGCATCTCCATCCATCAGCTCCATGGGAAATCCAGAGATCATCATCTCTGCTGCAAGACTGGGGAGAGAACAGAAGTCAAACTGCAGACTGTCTTCCTTGTTCTTCTTCACAGATGACCATGATTCATAGATCTGACCAAACTCTCTCATTATGTGCTCCAAGCCAAAACTTGTCCTGTTAATTTGCTCTGAGATGTTTTCCAGGCTTGTTTGTTCAGTCTGCAGTTGATCTAGATTGTCAGGCATCTTTTTCAATGCTGAGACTTCATGCCATTTTACAGCATACACCTTATGAAGTTCACAGAGGTTCTCTGAAGTGAAGTCATTCAACAGTTTCATCATCCATCTGAGGAAATACTTTTTTTCATTGTCTCTCTGTGATTTCATTGTTTCAATAAATTTCCCCATAAACTCACTCAATCCTTGGCCCATCTGTTTTTCTCTTATTTCTCTCATGTTCTTCTGTTTGGTACTTTTATCTTCCTCTAGATTTTCACCTTGTAGATGATGTAGCTCTTTGTTCATTTCACACCAGTCATGCCACAGTTTCCCCTGATGGGGCAGGCTTGTTTCTTTTACTGTTGATGGATCTTTTCCTCTCAGTAAACCCATGATCTGAACTGCTGCCCGTTTTCCTCTCTGACACTCTGGATCCTCCTCATCTACTCTGATTCCTGTGTGTTCGGCCACATCTTCAAGCTTGAAAGTCTTTTTCTGCTCAGTCAGAGTCCGTCTAATAGTTTCTCTTATTTGCTCAGATACATCAGATTGGTTTTTGTTCAAAAGACCAAATATTAATTTTCCGTTCCCCAGTTCAGTTTTATCACAGTGATTGTCAGTAAGTAAACAAATGAGAGGCTGAGGAGACCTGAAGAGTGATCTCACCAAACCCTTGTAGTGGTTCTTCTGTCCAAAATCAGGTAAGAAGAGGACATTTACTGAAGCCGTACTGGTCAGGATCTCATATTGTTTCTCATTCTCTCCTGCATCACCATGAAGATTACAGAAAGCAACACAGTCATCAAATGCGTCTGTCTTTTTTTCCAGAAGGACAGTACAAGCAAAGGCAGAGCATACTGACACTGGGACAGTTTAGTCACCATCAGCTGCTTCAAGAAACCATCAGCACAATGAAACACGGCCATCTGAACATCCATCGGGTGAATATCAGGACTGTAATTTGCACTGTCTTCCTCACTGTCTTTCTTCCTGTGTTTTATGACAGTGTATCTTGCTCTGTAGTCCAGGTTCATCAGCTTGTGTAGAAATGAGTTTACCAGTTCATTCTCTTCCTGTGGCTCCTGGGACTGAAGTGTAGACTTGATTTCAAGAATGTCTTCTGTTCTCATTTTATTTTGATGCCTTTTTGTCAGATCTAGTCTATGGTAAAGTTTGTTGAGCTGTTCATTGTTTTTTGGTCCAAGCTTTTGGTTTTGGACAGTTTCATCTCTCTGTAAATAGATACATGAACACAGTGATATGAAAATACTAAGCTCTTAATGGTAGTTTCAGATATAGTACATTTTAAAGTGGCATTTCCAATGTCGGGCTGAACCATACTCATTGCTTAACCACTCCATTCTGTGCCAATCTGCCCCAGGCGGCACGAATATGGTTTAATTTTCCACTATGGGGCTGCTAACAGATCTTGTAATACCAATGCATCAGTCATTGCCCTGCTAACACAAGTGTTTACATACGGTATGAGATGTAAATTATGGCAAGTCATGGAGGATGACCAGATATTTCTGTTTTCTTCACTCAAATAGCGCACATCCCCAGGGCCGCATTAAGACCTCACTGGGCCCTGGGGCTATGACTTACTGCAGGGCCCCCCATCACAATAATGATATATACAGTATATTGTTACGTCTAATGGCGTATTAATTTTTGTCTCTATTATTGATACAAAGAGTGTTGTCGGTGTTTGTATTTTTGCTATCTTTCTCTCCCTTTCTCTCTCTACCTGTGTGTCTGTGCTTGATAGGCTAATGATGATCAGCTGCGCTCATCCACCTGAATGCGCTGTCCACAACCTGATGCGTGTTTGCTGGCTTCTAGTTCAAAATAGCAGAGAGAGCGTGGAGGAAGGAGAAAGACATCGAGGTGTTTGAGGTTGTTCTGCTCTCCAAGCCCATAAGTGCTTATCGCGCTTGTTGTGTTCTTTGTTGAGTCATCACAATGGTTCCTGAGTTGTTGATTTGCTTAATAATCAGTTAAGCTTGTGGGTAAGTTAGGGTGGAGGATACCCATACGTTTTCTCCTGTTTAATGGTTAGTTAGGGAGTGAGGGAAGTTATATGTTGTTTTGTTTATTTTCTTTAATGTATAGGTAATTTAATATTTTCCCCTTTTAGGTAGAGGTATTGTTTTTTTGGATTTTCTTTTGTTCGGGCCCTCCTCCCGAGGTAATGTTTCTTTGTTTGTATTTACTGTTATTTTTGTATTTGTTATGCTATCAATTTTTTGATGCACTGAAATTTCATAATTCTTGTGACCAATTTCAATATCAAAAAAACAAATACTAGCTCAAGTAAAACCTAGCTTGTTCTAAACCTGTATGAGTTTCCCTCTGCTGTTGAACGCAAAAGAATATCTTTGGAACAATACTGGTAACCAAAAAAACAAACAAAAAAAACACTATTGGAGTCAATGGGGACCAGAAACTTTTTTTGGTTATGAACATCAAAATATCTTCTGTTTTGTTGAGGAGAACAAAGAAATTCATACAGGTTTAGAACAACTTGAGGGTGAGAAAATCATGACAGTATTTTCATTTTTGGGTGAAGATCATATAATGCCAGGATCTCATATATCCTACTACTTCACATGCTTTGTCTTTAACTATTAACGTTCATGTAAGACACAACTGACTGTGTTGACGAGGATACTCACAAAAACTGGCATTTTGACACATAACTATGTGTATTTGAATGTTTAAGCACAAGGCGCGAAAAAGAACTTTAGTTTAGTCGGGCGCTGTACGAGCAGGTGCACGCCACGCGTATCAGATTGAAACCGTCTTAACGCGCACATTTACCAACTAGAATTCTGCCTCGCTGCTTAATATCCATGAATAGTTTAAAACTATTTGTTTTTAAACCACAGTGCTTAAAGCGCGTTTAAGCTTACATCATGACGCGCAAAACGATTGACATTTTTCTACCGGGTTATTTCACAACCCTTAAGCGAATATATAGTTTGTTCAAATACAAAAAGCCAAATACATCCATCAAGTTAATAATCAAACTAACCTAAAATCTGTGTGGACGATGGCGCTTTTTTTCTGCTCCATGTGCACGGTCCACTTGCTGTTTCACAACTTCTACTCCATCATCATCTTTAGTAAAATAACCTGATAGCTAGGGATTTTACTGACTATGTTTTATCTGCTGTTTGTCTTTTACGTTTTTCTC